TGACTAGGATTGGCCGGGAATTTAGCTCAGTGGTTCTGCCGCCTGCCGCGAAAGCTCAAGGACCCGAGTTCGATCCCCGGTACCAAAAAAAAAAAAAAAAAATCGAAAGTGACTAGGATTTTAGTTCTGAGCTTTGGGGGGGAGGGGGTCAGATAAAATTTCTAATCCAGACCCAGCCCTTTTCTGTGACTTTAGGCCGGTTATATAATTGCTGAGTCTCAGTTGCTCTACTACTTTAAAAAAGTTATCTTGGGCTGGGGATTTAGCTCAGTGGTTTCGCCGCCTGCTGCGCAAGCGCAAGGACCTGAGTTCGATCCCCGGTACCAAAAAACTAAATAAATAATCTTGAAAAATGCGAGATGGTAGTTCTCTTGAAGCTGAGTTTCCTATAAAGTGTTCAAAGAGGCTGAGCTCTCTTTTTCGAACTCGTGGTCACACTTGCTAGGATCTAAGCATTTCTTCAAGACCTGCCCCAGGGTGTTGCTCAGCTGAGCATGTTCACCTGTCATGAAGCCTGTAGTCTTGTTCCAAGCATGCATGTCTCCTTTCTATTGGACGAGTGAGGGTTGTCAGTGTTTTGCACCTGTGCCTGTACTACAAATCTAGCTGCATGTTTGAATCTTTGCTCAGCAATGCACAGTACTTCCTAGATGCAGACCTCCTTCTCCGTAGTCACTGAGGCCTAGGACAAGTTGTTACTCCGTTCATAGGAATGCTGCCAAGGGAGGTCTTTTGGCACTCTTTGGCATTAACCTTTGCTGGGCTTTGTTATTTCAACTATCATGACATGGACATACACAAAGCTTTTGCCGTGCTGTAGAAGCTCTGACCTTTTTGACTTAATACTTTAAGAGTTGATTCTTTGCCTCTTGGCCTCTACTTTGTCATGCCATTCAGCTCACAATAAGAAATAACAGATAAGTCCACTGGTAAACAAACCTTCTTACTATATAGCTATTTTCAGAATTTAATTTTGAGGAAAAAATTGAGAAGAATTGTATCCAAAAAATTGTGAGACCAACTTTTTATTTTGGTGATTTAATGGGATTATCTCCCAGCTCAGGACTCAGAGTGTAGCTAAACATTACATATCAGCTTTGCCTTTCAATTTATCAATCTCTTAGAGAATTCAGCTTTATTACTATCAATACATGATCATACTTTTGTATTTTTCTGAGGAATAATGGACAAAAGGAAATATTGTTAATGAGTAAAGATTTTGCAGAAAATCAGTGTTTAATTTTGGGAATTTTCTGTCCAGTCGGTACCAGTAAATGATGATTATTATATGTCCTAGGTAAACTTTAAAATAGGAGATGCTGATATCTCACATTACAGGTTTCTAAATCCTAGATGGGAAAGCTTGGAAAGCTTGAATTTAGAGAAGTTCCATTTAGTGAGGAGATCTCCCTTGTAGATGTATCAAAATATTACAGATAATTCCAAACAAATAATTCTCAAATGTGTTTTACTTGTCCTAAAATAATCTGTCTACAAATATAAAAGTGTTAAAAATTATTTTCCCACTGTGGGAATTGCTAATGGGAAAATGTATTTTATGAAAAGAAACTTTTTTTTTTTAATAAAAGGTTGTATAACAAAAATGTATTCTACTCTTTAAAAAATTAAAGAATTATCTGGAGTGTCTTGAGATTAAATGAATGAATGGGTTAAAATTAACATATGCTTTAATATTCCAATGTGTTTAAAGCACTTGGCACATTAGAGGCCCTCAGTGTTAGTTCTTCTTGCCTTCTGTTAGGATCCCATTTGTGCCTGTGTGTGTTGATATTTGTTTGTGTGTGTGCGTGTTTCTTTCAACAGAGGAAATTTGTCTTTCTTGACTTTGAGTAAAACATCATTATTGTGGAAAGATGGAATGCTGCAGGTCAAGAGCCAAAATTATTTTGAACTCTCTTAGGCCCTTTAGGACAGTAGCTATTTACTTTTAACCTTTATTGTATCTGATGATTGTTAGGTAAACCTCTTCAAAGTAGCCAGACTACCTGCCACCCCCACCAATCTATTTTGTGGTACTGGAAATTGAACCCAGGGACTCAAATATGCTGGGCCAACCCTCTACCACTAAGCTACATCCCTAACTTTTTTTTTTGAGACAAGGTCTTTCTAAATTTCCAAGTCCAGCCTTGAACTTGCAATTCTCCAGCCTTAGCCTCGGGAATAGCTGGAAGTACAAGTGCAAACCACCATACCGGGTTGTATTTGTTGAATGTATTGATTTATGACTTTCTTTGTTCTTTGGTTATGAAAGTTCAAGAAACCACTTTCACTTTGGAACATGTCATTCAGAGTATCTTGAATCCATGTTCCTGGAACATGGTCACTCATATTTGGCTCAGACGATTTTCTTATTTCCTTTAAATCAAAGTTCTTATTTATGTCAACAATTTGTGTATGTGTGTGTGTTAATGTATGTACATATATATATATTCAAAAATATTTTCTATAATACTGTTTCTTATCAAACAGGATATGAGAACTTCGAGAAACCCTTTAAAGGATATGCTGATACATCCAAAAAACAGAAATAACAAGCAGAGCTGGGCCTCAGTGGTTTGGAGACCAAATCTTCCTCTTTGCTTATTTCTTAGACATTTCCAGTAGCTCCTGAAAAGTTCGTGCAGGGTCTAATTTACCTGTTTAGAAGACTACCTTTTTTGTGAATACTGTTTGGTAAGTTTAGTAGAGAGCTTTAGAATTGAGTGCCTGTTTGGCTACTGAGTGCCTCTCAGGCTACAAATCAAGAATCCAATTATTTGTAACTAACTGATTTTCTCCTTCCCTCCCTTTCTCCTCCCTCCCTCTTTTTTTCTTTCTCCTTCTTTCTTCCTTTCTTTCTCTCTTTATTTCCTCCCTCCCCATCCATCCTTTCTTTTTTTCTTTTCCTTCCTTTATTCCTTCATCCCTTCTTTCTTTTTCTTTCTTCTCTCAGATTGCGAATGATGCAAACCACTGACATGCCCTTTCAAATAAAACCAGTCCTTTTAGAACAGTCATAGGCTTACTAGCATTCAACATATATTGCTTAAGTAAAAGTGAGCCAGCAGTAAAAGTACAACACATAATCACACCTTCTTTAGTCGGTTGCATTTATTTCCTTATCAATTGTCAGATTTCAAGAGCCACTTATAATTTAGTGGAAGGGAAGAAAACTGGACCCTTGGGAACCACAGCAGAGTGAGCAGGGCTTGTTTTATGAGTGTGTAGCCTAGGCCCCAAGCTTAGAACCCCCCACACTTGGTTTAATATTTTGCTGTTGTCTTGAAATTCTTAATAGATTTTGAATGAGAGAACCCATATTTTCAATCTGCAGTGAGCCCCACAAATTATTTAGACAGTGCTGGGACCATAAATGGAAAGCTGCCTAGAAAATGACACTTAAAAAACACCTGTATGAGCCGGACATGGTGGTGCACACCTGTAATCCCAGGACTCTGGAGGCTAAGGCAGGAGGATTGCCATGAGTTCAAGGCCAGCCTGGACTACACGGTGAGACCCTGTCTCAAAAAACTGAAACAAAACTAAACAATAACCCTATATGTTGGGCACAGGGCTAAGAGCTTGAAATAGGTCATTCATTTAATATAGCTAGAGAGAGTAACATTATTCTCATTTTACCAAAGATGAAACGAGCTTGGAGAAACTAAGGTGCTTACTTGAGATTATGAATCTAGTAATGGCAGATCCACTGTTCAGTTTTTGACAAGGAAAAATTCATTGATAAAATTTCTCCACAGACAAAATCAGCTCCCTCTGGCCATTTTCCTCTATGCCTCAAATACTGGATGACTTGGAAAAGGAAAATAAATATCCCTTATATATATTAGAAAGCATAAAAGTAAAACTTATATGCGCTAACATGTTATACTTCATTGTGGAACATTTTAGAAAAAGTTTTCTTTATAATCCTATAAATCTCTCCCCGTTTTTAATTAATAAGCACCAGTTGAGGATAATTTCAGGATAAGTATCTTGAGTGTGGATCATAATTATATATTTAAGTGTCAAATGAGAAAAACAGTTACAAAACATTAAATAAGATCATGTTTGAAATAATATTTATGGGGAATCATTGCTAGTGAATAAAGAAGTTGGGGACAGGTGTGGTGGTGCTCATTTGTCATTTTATCATACTTGGGAGAGTAAGGCAGGAGGATCTTTGAGCCCAGAGCTTCAAGGCCAGCCTAGGTAACCTAGTAAGACCACATCGAGAGAGACAGAGAGAGAGAGAGAGAGAGGGAGAGAGAGAGAGAGAAAGGAAGGAGACATTTCAGGATGTTAGAAGTCAAGACAGGAACTTAAGAACTTGACTGAGACAGCTTCACTATGTAGTTCAGGCTGCAATTCTCAGTCCAGTTCTCAGTCCTCCTCACACGATAAGCATGTGCCACCAAACCAGACTTATGAATTTGAGTACATTAAAAGTTACAGTCTGCTGGGAATTTAGCTCAGTGGTTCCGCCACCTGCCTCACAAGCGCAGGGTCCCAAGTTCAATCCCTGGTACAAAAAAAAAAATTACAATCTAATCATGACAACTCATTTTAGTGAAGAATGGAAACAAGTACCAATGACTTTTTCTCTTCCTAGGCAAATTAGCCATGTATGATTGAGAACCTCTGACAATGTTCAAAAGGCTTTGACATGGAGCATGTGAGGGCCTTTGTAAGCATCTATATCCTGCGTTAGTGAGTGGATAACAAGCTAGAGGCTGACCATGGAATCAGGAGAACAATTTGAATTGGAAAAGAGAAACTGAAGGCTTGGTTTTGTAAGGTCTTGGGTCAAGTTCAGTGGTTCCCATTCCAGAGTGATTTTTGTTCCCCAAGGGGTGTTTGGCAGTCTCTAGATATTTTTAGTGATCACCTCTGGGATGAGGGTGTGGCTGGGGAGTTGTGCTGCTGCATCTAGGAATGACCAGAGATGTTGTTGAACATTCTACTACAACAGGACAGTCTCTCACAACAAAGAATTATTCAGCCCAGGGGCCAGGGATTTAATTCAGTGGTTCCTCTGCCTGCCTCACAAGCGTAAGGTCCGGAGTTCAATCCCCAGTACCAAAAAAGAAAAAAAAAAATTATTCAGCCCAAAGTGCCAAGTGGGAGAAGGTTGGGACCCTAGTAGTGAGTGTCTTTACCATCTTGCTTCCCACTACCCCCTTCAGATTAGGCACCACAGATATAATAAATTGGCCTTCAGTTATATGCTTTTAAATTTTAAGTGGGATTTTCTTTTCCATTTGGTTTTATTGTAAATGGTACATTTTTAGAGAAAGGATATAAAGTGAGAAACCAGTATTATTTAGCTGCTTTCACTCTGGGAACTTAAATTCTTTGGCTAAAAGCAAATTTGTAAGGGCATGGCTAGAAAAGATTTTTTTTTTTTTGGTAGGGGGATGGAACTCAAGTCCTTGCATTTGAAGGGCAGGCAGTGGAACCACTGAGCTAAACCCCCAGCCCAAAAATACATTTTTTTAAAAAAATCCTCTCTTTGGGGCCAGGGATTTAGCTCAGTGTTGCCATGCCTGCCTTGCAAGCGCAAGGTCCTGAGTTTGATCTCTGGTGGTGGGGGCGGGGGGCAGGATCAGCTCTTTCGTAAAGTTTATGAGTTGACCCTAGGGTGAAAGGCTAGTGAGTCAGAAATAATTTAAAACCTAAGAAGCCAAAGCACAGAAAGGGTTTGGATGATTGGAACCAAACTATAATTATGCTACACTGGCTGTTGAACAAGGTGTATTTCTACAGTATTTACCTTTTAATTTTTATCCAAAGTTCTTAAGCTTTTGGCAGAAAAGTTTCAGTTGCTATTTTTTAAACCTCTTCCCCTGTCCCCTGAACATTATAGATGCAGTTTTCATGCTCATGAAACCGAAGATATTTGCTGCATACCGTGTTTGGGGCCAAGAGAAGGTGTAAGAGGCTGGAGATTTTCTTATAGCTTCTCCTTACTTTGACCTTTCTTTGTGGTTCTGTCCAAGTATGGTGAAAAACCTGCATAGTCATTTTGATAATGACATTTTTAATATTATCTGCCAGGATATGCTCCAGGGACCTAGCCTTGTCATTTTGGATGGAAAAAGGTGGGGACCAATGTGATCACAATACAAATCATTTGGTCTCAGTTTGTAAATAAAATCTGTGAGGTTTAGTCATTGAGAGAAAGAGAACTACTTGATGTCATATAGAAAGTGCAAGCAGATTGATACAAACCAGATATACTGGGTTATATTTGTGGACATTTTACTTTAATGTACTATTCTTTTAAAAAGACCCTCTTTTTCTGATTACAAAAATAATACATGCGGGCTGGGGATTTAGCTCAGTGGTTTCGCCACTTGCTGCGCAAGCACAAGGACCTGAGTTCGATCCCCAGCACCAAAAAAAAATTAATAATAATAATAATAATACATGATTATTGGGGAGAATTTGGAAAATATAGAAAGGAGTTAAGAAAAATAATGGAAACAGTCTGTAATCCACAGTCTTGGTGCTCAAAGATAATCATGCTTT